CCTCAGCCTCCCAAGTAGCTGAGACCACAGGCGCCCACCACAATGCCCGGCTATTTTTTGGTTGCAGCCATCATTGTTGTTTGGCAGGCCTGGGCTGGACTCAAACCTGCCACCTTAGGTGTATGTGACTGGCGCCTTAGCCACTTGAGCCACAGGCTCCGAACCAAATCTTTTTCTTATTATTTTATTGTGTTCATCCATTTTCATTTGTAATGAGATTAATTTTTATTTTATTTATATATTTTTTTTATTATATAAATTTTTATATTTATATATATACGTGTATATATATATTTTTGGGGGGGACAGAATCTCACTCTGTTGCCCGGGGTAGAGTGCTGTGACATCATAGCTCATAGCAAGCTCAAACTCTTGGGCTTAAGCAATTCTCCTGTGTCAGCCTTTCAAGTAGTTGCGACTACAGGCACCTGCCTTAACACCTGGCTATTTTTTGTTTTGTTTTGTTTTTTGCCATTATTGTTTTAGCAGGCCCAGGCTGGGTTCAAACCTGCCAGCCCCGGTATATGTGGCTGACGCCCTACCTACTGAGTACAGGTGCTGCCACATAACGAGATTAATTGATTTAAACATTGCCTGTTCAGTGTTGGTTTTTTGTAGAATCACTTTTTGATATTATTTGAGAAATTACTAATTTTAGGGCCATGGAGGTGAATACTGTAAATGTCTATTTGCAATTTAAATTATTTGATTGGAAAACAGTTACCAGGCAAAGAGTGTTCATGGCCCCTGAGTCTTCTTTTCCACTTATATTGAAGCCACTTATGTGGTTTTTTGGTTTGGGCTCTGAGCCTTTCTACTCATTAATATTCCTATGTTAGTCTTCGTTTAATTTTCATTTAATTAGCTTTCACTTGAACTGGGTGCAGTGGCTCACACCTATAATCCTAGGACTCTGGAAGGCCAATTCGGGTGGATTGCTTGAGCTTGAGAGTTTGAGGTTGCTGTGAACTAGAACACCATGATACTCTATTCAGGACACAGAGTAAGTCTCTGTCTCAAAAACAAAAACAAAAAACTCCTTAAAGGTGGAGAATATTGAAAATATTTGGGGACATAAAAGGGTGATTGCATATGTACTGAGCACGTAGACTTGTTTTTCTTATCATTATTCCCTAAACAATACAGTATAACAAGTATTTACATAGCATTTGTAAATACTAACTAAGCTATTGGAGTGTTAAAATAATTTGAGCAAACCAGGCAGCCCCCAGAGCCAGGAAGAGTTCAGAGTGACTTCAGGACTTCTGCATGGTTGGATACCATGGTTCAGAGTTCAAGATACCATGGTTCGGGTGGCGCCTATGGCTCAAAGGATTAGGGCACTGGCCCCATATGCCAGAGGTGGCGGGTTCAAACCCAGCCCCAGCCAAAAACTGCAAAAAACAAAGAAACAAAAAACCCCTACAAGATACCATGGTTCAAGAGTTCAGAGTGACTTCAGGACTTCCCCGTGGTTGGCTACACTCTGAACTCTTCCTAACTCGGGGGGCTGCCTGGTTTGTGGCCTAATAGGCTGATCTAAAATCCTAGAAACAAAGGTTACAGCTACCTGTTTTGACTCAGGTCCTACTTGGTGTTATGGGACCTGAGTCAAAACAGGTAGCTGTAACCTTTGTTTCTAGGATTATAGATTAGCCTATTTCCTCATGTACGTGTCTTCTTAAGCGTTGTAAATAAGTAAAGGGCTCCAAGGAAGACTCTTTCCCCCTAAACTATTGATTTTTATTATAGATTAGCTTTCCTGTTACCTTTCTTGTACAAAAAACCTTATTACTATCACACTGTCTAAAATGTACTGTTTTCATTAATGTACGCAGCTATGATTTAATAAGAAAAAAATAAAATGCAGTATTTTATTTCAGATTAATATGAGGGTACAAACCATTAGGTTATATAATTTACACATGAAACGTTAAAGTCAGCATATTCTTCACCTAGGGAGTGTGCCATAATGCTAAGATGCAATGTTAAATACATTTTTAAATTGGAAAGGAAATGAAGGCAAGCTGTACAGAAACAAAAAAAAACTAACTAATTAAACCAGCCTTGTATAGAAAATGTTAATATTCCACTAAGTCTCTTTATTTTTTTCCTATATAAGCAAGAGCTTTAACTGTTTTTTTTTTTTTTTTTACTTAGAGTTTCACTTTGTTGCCCTTGGTAGAGTGCTATGGCCTCATAGCTCACAGCAAACTCAAACTTTTGGGCTCAAGCAATTCTTTTGCCTCAGCCTCCCAAGTAGCTGGGACTACCAGCACCTGCCACAATACCTGGCTATTTTTAGAGTCAGGGTCTGGCTCAGGCTGATCTCGAACCTGTGAGCTTAGGCAATCCATTGGCCTTGGCCTCCCAGAGTGCTAGGATTATAGGTGTGAGCCACCACACCCAGCCAAGACCTTAATTTTAACTTAAGAGCACTAACCCCATTTCTCTGGAGTTTGCATTTCCCAGGTGGTCATCCTTGTAAATGATTTGGTACCAAAAAAAAAATATAGAATTATAGGCATTAGAATTAAGAGATAATGGCTCGGCGCCTATAGCTCAGCCGGCTAAGGCGCCAGCCACGTACACCTAAGGTGGCGGGTT